GCTCCCTCCCGCATCAGGATTTAGAACAAACGTTGCATCCCCGGCTTTCTGCGGCTGATCGTACATGCCGGCGCTGGGGATTGACGCTCGCGCCGGTGTGCTGGGCTCCTTGCTGTGCTCCCTCGGCTGGTGGCCGGCGGGTTGCCTTCCTTTCTGGAAGCGCTGCGGCAGCGCTGGGGGAGACGCATGGCTTATTGTTGCAGGCGGAATGGTCTGATGTGGCGGGGGAGCCCTGCCTCCGCTTCGGGGCTTGCCCGTTCGCCGTGCTCTGGCTTTGTCAGCGATCCTTGAAACCTGCCGGGCTGAGCGCCTCCCCCCTGCGCAAACCTGCCGCGGTGTGTGTGTCTTTTTTTTTTTTTTTGCCTCCGAAAGGTCATGCTGAAGGGCACCGATGTAGTTAAATCTGAGTCGTGACTGCGGTAGGGGTGGGGTGGGCGCTAGCGTGTGGGGGCGAGCAGCCCTACACATACCTCTAGCAGTTTCCCACCATCCTCCTCTGCATCAAAGCCTTTGTAGAGGAGCCAATGCGGCTGGCACTGGGGGCTTTGAATCCGAGCAAACTGCGGAGAGAGCCAGCAGCGTGGCAGGAGACGGGGCTCTGCTCAAAGGTGTGGGAGGGATCGGCCCTGAAATTGAGGCGAGGGGCTTTAGTGTTACTGCGACCCCCTGGAATCCAGCAGCTAGCTCGGTGGGCTGCTTGGCTGGGCAAGTGAAGGGTTAATAATGCATCAGAGCTCAAGGTTAGTCTCAAGGTGACACCTCAAAGCTGGAGGTAACCAGGCACTGGGCTCTCGGGCCAGGCCATCCTGTAGTAGGGCATTGGCGTTTGGCTTCCTGGCTCTGTGCATGGGCCTCTTGAGTTTTATTTATTTTTCCCTCTGTCTCCATTTGGAGGAATAACCTGCCTCTGAGCTCGGGTAGAGAGGAAAGGGCTGGGTGGGGAGAATGAGCAAGTCCTTGGAGCCAGTCTCCTAGCAACTAAATGTAACTTGAGTGAGCCCATGAGGTGCACAATGGCTCAAATTTGTTTCCACCTCCTTCCCTTCTCTCTGGTCTGGTTCTTCCCACTCCTCCGAAGTCAGAGGCAAGAAGATGCATCATCTCAGCTTGCATTGAAGTAGCCAGATAGATACAAAGGCCATTGTGAAGATCCATTCTAGGGCATCATCTCCCAGTTTTTTCTTCTCCATCTTTTTTGGCTCTTTTGTGCCTCTCTGTTCTCTATTACAACCATATCTGTTTGCTTTGGATTCTAATAGTTTGAAAGCTTTAGTTCATTTTGAGTTGACTCCAGAGGAAAGCTCCAGTTCTGTAGAATAAAACAAACCTGAAATAGCAAGTGATCTGGCTCCAGTTCACTAGCTTAACCTAGCATGTGGCTGTGAGTCACTGCTGTATTTCTCCTCTGCCCCCAGTGAAAGTTACAGAAGATACCGTTAAAATATTTCAGTCCATTGATTTTTTTTTCTTCATTTTAAACAACCGAGCATCAAGGATAGTGGTGATCATACATTCTTTTGTCCTTAAAAACAAGGAATGTATCTCTCCCCTAGGCATGGTTGTCCTTGGGGAGAGGGCGTTCTGCCCTTGGGCTCCTTTTTACCTAACTGGGTTTTAATCAGCACAGCCAGGCCCCTGATTTGAATTGTGACATTGTAGACTTTTTATCTCTCCTTTCCATTCTTCCTTTTTTGGGGGGAGCTGGGGAGGAGTGATGGTTAAAGCCAGCTAGGAGAGTTTACTTCAGAACCTGGGAAACAAATGTTTTTACCTTAACATAAGCAAGAAGTGTCACATCTAATGTAATGTTCATGATGCATGTGGTATTATTACAAATACTACTTGGAGAGTTGTCTATTTGCATATTAATTTTGAAAGGCTTAGTCAGTTAGTTGCTGCCAATCAAAGCTGGCCTGCCACCCTCATTGTTAAAGTCAGCCCCTGTTGACTGATCAACCGGACATCCGGAGTTGCCATCTTTAGATTTGGCAGGCGGCAGCAGCAGTAGGATAGACTAGAGGAAGTTCTCACTATATATTTCTGTGAGCAGAGTATTTGTAAGCGCTTGGAAGTACGTTTACTGGCTTTTATCCCACTCTGAGCTTGAGAGACTTTACAGATGTGCCGAATATATGGTCTTTGTCATTATCACCTAAATATCTAGGGCTGGATCCTCAGGGGTAAATTGGTGTAGCTCTATTGAAGTTAGCAGAGCTATGACAGTGTACATTAGGTGAGAATCTGGCCTATCTATTATACACCAATCTGTAGCAGGCACTTGTTTCTCTGTAAACCCTTGTGTTTTGTTGCTCGATTCACTGTATATTTTCTATAAATCAGGCTCATGTAGGTGTCCTGGTATGCTGTTTGACAGTATTTTGGTTGGGAGAGATGTTAATGCTACCTCCTGGTATTAGACATTTGATGTGATTTAAAAAAAAATCAAAGGCAGCAAGCACATGAGACAGCAGTGCTCTTGTTTGGTGTATTGCAACAGCACTCCTTTGACTGGTCTGGAAAAAATTACCAAATCTCTGACATCACAACCGTTTGCCTAGAGCTTCCTGGATACCAAAGAGTGTGATTAACTCTGAGTGTGCCAGAACATAATGCTGCCGAGGACAGTTGAATTTCATTAATTTCCTGCTGCCCTGCCCCAGTGTGGAAGGAGGAAGTTGAAGGTCAGGGCTCCGCTATCTTAGATTTTTTTTTCCCATTCTGTTTTCCCCATTCC